GCATGACCAAACACCAAGGCGCACGGAACGCTGTTACCTGCCCACCGAAGTGGTACCTATTTATCTACTTGCAATTTCTTGCTTTCGAACTGCTAGGTTGGCAGGAGCTGGAACTAGAGACGGGAGCTCACTCCGTCATGCGGCAACTCGGGTCTCAAACTGCTGAACTACAGACCTTCCACAGCCTGCAGTTCAGCGTCTTAACCACTTGAGCCACTGCAGTCAGAAAGTACATCCCCATTATTAGCAAAAGTTCAGCTTTCTGTCGTGAGCAGTCAAAAAAGGGGGCGGGAGTTTTGCTTCCATTTTTCAACAATTTGAACTGCAAATAGTAAGAAGCCTCTTTTGTATATATATTGTTTTTAATTCACAGTTTTTTCTACTCCCTTCTCGTTCTCTCTCTGTCCACACACACACACTCCACCTTCCTTTCTGCAGCCTGGAGGACTAAAACTTTAGAGCTGGCAAATAGTGTCCTCTGCCAACAGCCATTGCAGGAAGCATGCATAAACAGACTACACAGCCCCCCCCCCAAAAAAAAAGCTCCGAGAGCAAATGGCTTTTGGGTAGAGGACTCTGAAACCCAACCCCCCACACACACACACACACTACAGGGAAGCTACTTAAAAGAGGGATTTCTCACCACCACTCAAGCAGAATATTGGAGAGGCTGGCGAAGGAAAGAGCTGCGATGCCAGAGCCAAGGAGGTGGGAAATATCACTGCACCTGAGCAGAGCAGGGCTTCTGAGAAGGGAGGGGCAGCTTGGAAGCCAGCCAGAACTGTGCTCCAGGCGAAGCACACTAGAGGGAACACGCTCTAGCCCTTCTCTATGGTTTTTATAACCATAGAGACTTGGAGGACTTAAATGCTAGAGCGGCAATTTCCGGTCGCCATTTTTCCCTCCCGGGCCCGAATTTTTTAAAAGCGGGTAAGGGGCTTGTAAATCGGGGGTTCCCCCTCCCCCAGCGGGGGCTTGGCAAGCCTAAAAGAAAGCAACCTCAGAGCTTGAAGGAAAAATCACAGAGCTTTCCATAAGCCCTGTGCTCACAGGCAAGCAGGAAGAAAAACTGAAGGTGGCAGGTTGGAGATAGAAAATAGCCGCCAGGGATCATGGGATGGAGAGTACCCAAACATCTCAGAGTGTATGGCTTTCTTCAAGGGAAAAAGGATGTGTACACATTACAACAGATTTATGCTCTTTTACATTTTGGCATAACACATTTTTATTTATTTAGAAATTCCTACTGTCCCAAATGTCCCTGTTCAATTGTCCTTGAATCAAGGAACTCTCAACAGCCAGCAGCAGAAGCTGAAAACAAAACAGTTTTGGTAGAAGAACAAATGGAGTTGCTCTCACTCACAACGTTACTTTAAATTTGTCATATGTACTTGTCTCTTGAGGTAGCTGTCACACCTCCCCTGGCCACCTGCCGCCTTTGTGCTTGATGCCACTGCACTCCCAGGCAGTACAAAAACGGCTTCACCTCAACGGGCCAAAAAAGGAGGGTGTAAAGAGAGGTCCCACAGGTGAGGAGGAGGAGGGTCAAGGGGAGTAGCCTCAGTTCTAAGCAAAAGGGGGTGGTTATATCACCAGACACCACCACCCCACCTTAGCTCTCTGGGCCCAACTGGCTCTTGCTCTCTCTATGGCTCTCTGCTGGGACCCAGCATGTCCACCCCAGCGGGCTCAATTGCCTCCTCTTTTATACCTCCCCCTCCTGGGTCCCCACCTCTTCCCTCTCCTGGGACGGTCCCCTTTGGAGCCCTGCCCACTGTATGTCTGCGGAGATGCCCGGGCCAGCATCCCCAGGTCAACACTTCCCTGCTGCCTCTTTCCTCCTCCTGCTGTAGCAGAACTGTGGCACAGCCATTCCAGAGGCTTCCCACCCAGCTCTCCCATCAGCTTCTCTGCAGGCCTCCAGCCCTGGCGTCGCCATGGTCGGACTCAGCCAGGCCTGGGGCCTCTCCTCTCCACCTTCCTGCATGCTGGGGAGAGGTGGTCGCTGGGCCCCATGTCTTTCAAGCCGCCCCACTGCCATCATCTGCAGCGCCCTGCTGGTTCCAGGTGGGCTCTTCAGGGCTGGTGGGGCTTGCGCTGGGAAGTGGGTTCAGCTCTGGAGCCACTGTCTTTCCCCTCAGCCCCATGTGTCAGTGGGGTGGCTTCTGCACCCCTGTTTGCTCCAGGGGGGAGGGTCCACTGGGGCCAGTTCAGGCTGGACCTGGACAGTAGCTGAACTGCAGCTACCTGTTGTTTCTGTGGATCTTATGCTGCAAAAAATTATGTTTAAGATATACTGGACACTATTTGATAAAGGCTTTATTGCTGCCACTGTAACTTACAATATGCATCTCTTAAACATATGCTTTGGGCCTGTCCAGTTATTCCGTCTTTTGTGGAGGAAGTAATTGCTCATATCAGTTTTGTATTAGAACTTTCATCGATATTTGAGGGTGCTTGTACTCATAGTCAATGAAAGGGACCCTCCATACCCTTACTGTTGCTAAAAAGACTTATATTATGACAATGGAGATGCAAATACAATGGTGTATCTACACACACTTCCCCAAAAGGGAATGATGCAGAAATCCACGGTGCATTCTGTTACAAAGCAAATGCATCTCTGGTTATTGGAAGAAGAAGAAGAAGAGAAGAATAGATTGGATTTATACCTCACCCTACACTACCCAAATGTGTCTCAGAGCAGCTTACAAACTCCTTTCCCCTCTCAACAGACACCCTGTGAGGTAGGTGGGGCTGAGAGAGCTCTTGTCAGAAACTGCTCTTTTTCAAGAACAGCTGTACCAGAACTATGGCTTGCCCAAGGTCATCCAGCAGGTGCAAGTCGAGGAGTGGGGAATCAAACCCAGTTCTCCCAGATTAGAGTCTGTGCACTTAACCACTACACCAAACTGGCTAATACATTATCACACAGTCGACTGCATCCAGACTAAATTTTCTATCAGTGGAATGAATCTTTCCTGCCTCTCCATGGCAGCCCACTGACCTCTATGAAATGCTGCTCCTGAACCCCATGGAACAACATGAGGGGGGTTTGTAGTGGTAAGGGAGGAATCAGTGAGAATTGCCAGTTTGGTCTGGATCCAACCCAGTGCCTGGGAGCTTCCAGGGGAATTCGATTGGCCATTGTAGAGAACCGAATGTGAACTTAGACTCTTAATATTTATTTTAATATATTTGTATACTTATAAATATTTTTATGTTTAATCATTATAAATAAATATTTATTTATTTAATAAGTACTTAAATATAATACATTCAAGATCAAATAATTAAGAAGACATTAAAGAAATATAAGCATAAAGCCTTGTGGCACATTAAACACATTTATTGTGAAATATATCAAGTAGGAGTACATTTTTAAGGCACAACATGGCTTTGTGTTGTATTTTACATCAGATTAACACAGCCGCCTTGATGGAATTAATTGAAAGGTAATGCATAAGTAAATCCTTCATCCTTCACAACAACAAAAATATCGCAGCATTCCTTCAGCTTGTTCAAGCACAACATTCTATTCTGAGCATTCAGGGGGGCACTTACTACTTTTTCAAAGTTATACATTCAACTTCATGTAATAACAGTATTTCTTCAATGTCCTGAGATAACATATTTTAATAGCTGATTATGTATTTTAGCTGATTATGTATTTTAGCTGATAACATATTTTAATAGCTGATGCTCAGTTATGCAAAACCTCTAGCATGTTTATGGTGCATGAAACTTCTTACAAATAGCGGAATATATATTCCACAGCACTGGAAATGGCAGGCTAATATGATGTAGGAATAAAATCGAATGCCTCTTGATTTTTCCAGTGGTATTTGATAAGGGGAAAGACAGAATATTAACCAAATTATATATTCCGCTATTTGTAAGAAGTTTCATTAATTTCATAAAAATTAATAATTCAAAAGTCATCTTGTATGTTCAGCTTCAGGCTTTCAGCTGTTTTTATTTCACTTTGGTTTTAAAAAATTGGTAGGCTTGAAAAGATCTGTTATAATAATGTAGATCATATATTGGGAGAGTAAATCTTACAGAAGTTTATCATTTTTGGAAACGCAAGCATGTCTCCTTTTTAACTGAATCCAGATACCTTTGTTTGGACGAAGAATCAGTTCTGCTACAGGGCCAATATCTTCGTACTTCTGTGTGGTTTCCACCCAAAATTTTCGCAAGATGGTGGCTAAAATAGTCTTTTCTTCCATCTGTGCAAAGCGCTGACCTGAGTACACATTGAAAGAAATGGTAGTTATAGTTTACCTTGATAATACTCAATCACTGTTATCCATAATGGAGTACATCCACTGGTTGTCACTGATGCATGGTTCTTTGACAGATTCATAGGTATAGGTCAGGGTCTCTTCCCCCTCACACCTGATCTGCAGACCACCTGCTTTACAGATGAGGTGGGGAGTAGAGACAGATTAACTACTCTACATTCCATGCCTATGGTAATATGATAACAACATGCAGAGTACAGGCAAGTACTTGGGGGGTTCTGGTAGCCAAGGCAAGCCATGCTAAGTTAAGTACAGTAACTGTGGCTACAGAGGAGTATCCTCCTTTACATACAGGGAGGAAGAGGAGGCTTGAGACAAGTGTTTTCCTCCCCCCAAAAGGCAAGTGCAGATGAGATGAGGTTCAAAAGATGTGAGGGATCAATGATGAAGACCAAATTTCTTGGTTCTTCGTTTCAACAGCCTTTGTATTTTATGTAAAAACATAAACGCATCCAGCCACACAATTCCCCCAAATTACACCACCCCTAGGGCTGCCAAATTCCAGTTGGGGCTTGGAGTTTTCCAGATATTACAACTGATCCCCAGATGGCGGAGACACTTCCCCTGGAGAAAATGGCAGCTTCAGGTAATGAAATTTATGGCTTCCCAACCCTGTTGAGCCCTCCCATCCCCAAACTCCTCCCCAAATCTCCAGGAATTTCCACCACCACCCCAAGTCTGACAACCTCCTGTTCATATACAAAGAATATGGAGGATTTGAGAAGGTGCAGGGGGTGTCTATCTTTCAACAAAATTTGAGTGCATGGGCTACAAATGATAAGTCTTGCCACATCCTACGCTTTGTCACTTTCAGTATTTTACTTCCAGCCAGCCTCCAAAGTCAGCTCTGGGGGAGAGGCGAGGAAGCAGGGTTTGTTTTATCTATTATCATTTATACTCTGCCTTTCTCTCCATTAACTAGCATATTTAGCTAACACTAGAATATTAATAACTTTTAATTTTTTAAAGAAACAAAATGACCCACCAAAAAATGACATCAAACCCCATTCCCCCGATACCTCTAGCACGCCATGTACTACAGAACCTTTTATGGGAGAGGATTTCTCATAAAACAAGGTGTTTTCAGGCCTTGTTCTGAGTACCATGACGAAATCTGTTTTTTTAAAACAAACTTGCACATTAAATTAATGACAGTGCCACACAGATATCAACCAAATGCTTTCATACATACCAATGCAGTTTCTGGGCCCAGCAGAGAAAGGCACGTATGCATATGGATTCCGCCCAGCTGAGTTCTCCAAGGAAAACCGCTCTGGTTGGAATTTCTCAGGCTCTGGGAAGACATCAGGATCTCTGTGCAGTGCAATAGGTGCAATAATGACTTCTGTCCCTTTTGATACCTTAAATCCTCCTGTCAAAGAAGAATTAACATTCATGAAAGCAGCTCCTCACAGGATGGACTGGATTAGTTCAAACCTATAGTGCAACAATCCACTTACGAATATAGCAGCTTTCATGTAATGTACGGGCAAAATATGGAACAGAAGGGAAAATGCGAAGTGTTTCTTTTATAACACATTCCAGATATCGTAGTTCCTTCAAATCATCTGAGGTGACATGACGGTTAGAGTCCCCTAATAAACAAAGGCAAATGAGAGATGTGCAACCATTATGATCAACAAAGGATTGCATCCAGACATTTTCCATCAGCAGAATGGAACTTCCCTGCCTCTCCCTCTTCAACACAGTCTACTGATTTCCACAAAATTCTGTTCCTGGGGGATAGGGGGAACCTTAAGAGTGTAGAAGGTCAACAGTAGGAAGGAGGAATTGGACAAAACAGCCTCTCCATTTTGGTCAGCAGGTAATTATTCTGGATGAACCCCAAATATGTGCCCTGAAGTTGAATACTGATAGTTATTTAAAACAGGATTTTTGTTTTTAACAAGAGAAGAAAAACTGGGTCAAGTCCAAATAGGCATGATTAATTTCTCCAATTATTCAGAAGCCTGATATGACAGATGGTAAATGGTTAATGCTTTAACATGGTCTGAGAACCTTGAGTGACAAGGGATTCAAACCGAATTCTACAGCTGAGAGTGTCAGTTAGGAGTCACAGTTAAGAATGACAGTTGACTAGGAAGGAAGGTTAAGAGAGTAAGAAGATCAAGAAGGATCCCCAGGGCTAGGACTGGTAGACTACCCCCAAAAAAGAGAGAAGAGAGATTAAATTGGCAGGAAAGAGACTGAAAGAGACTGAAGAAACCAAGTCACCAAGTGCTCCATATGGTTCAAATGTTTGATGCTCACATGTTTTCGCACTCAAAATTCTGATAAATAAAATACATGTATTTTTCAATAATCCCCAACCAAAGAAAGGCCGGTGTCAGTCCCTGGGTTGTGTTGTACCTACATGACCATTTCCCCTCATAAGTAAAACAAAAGAGTGTATTCGTTTTGAATTACCACCAGCCTCTTGTGTAAAATTATCAAACAAAGCTGCCTTCTTGGTTTGTACTATAATTATTTTGAGGATGAAGTTCTATAACTTTTACAGAATATGGTGAAATCTATTCTATAGGGAAGAAAGGTGCCTGAGACGTGGAAAGAGGCCAATATAACATTAATACCCAAAGACGGACAAGACTTCACTTTGACAAGAAATTATAAACCAAACTCATTATTGAATAATGATTATAAGTTGTTTACAATGATAGTAGCTGAAAGACTTAAAAATAATTTTGTAAGGATTTATTTATGAATATCAATGTGGATTCTTGATATCAGTTGAAGGATAATGTTAGAATTGTATTAAACATTTTGGAATATTTGGGAAAACATAGTGAAAAACAAGCCACATAGATCTTTTTAGATGCAGAGAAGGCTTTTGACAACCTGAATCGGACTTTTTGTTTAAAGTTTTGGAGGACATGGATTTTAGAGAACTTCATGAAATTGGTAAAATTGATTTATACTTCACAGAAAGCACAAATAATTGTTAATGGAGATTTGACTAAACCATGTGAGATACAAAAGGGAACAAGACAAGGTTGCCCACTATCCCCTCTTGTTCATTCTTGTTCTTGAAATATTGAATAGAGACATAAGACAAGATGAAAGGATTGGGGGTATGAAAATTTTAAAAAAGAGTTTTATAAAGTAAGTGCTTTTGCAGATGATTTAGTTTTGGAAGAGCCTTCAAAAGGAATTGAATTATTAATGGACAAACTGATAGAATTCAGTGTATTAGCAGGCTTTAAGGTTAATAAACAGAAGACAAAGATGTCTTTTCCTTTTTAAAAAGTCTCTAGTCCCTTTCATTGCACAGGTGAAAAGCAAAAGATGTATCTCTGTAACAAAAGGGGCTAGGGTCTTACTTTTATAAATGAAAGCTGGGGATTCAGAAAACTCACTACACAGATTGTTATAATAATACTAGGAGGAATGCTCGTTGCGGGAGGAGGCAACGGGCCCTAGGGAGAGCCATCGCTGCGGGGCAAGGGGGCTGGATTGGCCCCCCCAAATCTGTGCCAGGGTGTGCCACGTGGCAGCCTCCCCCCTCCCCGAGCCCAGCGGAGCCCCCCCAATGCAGGGCCCACTGACTGTCCGGCGAACGCTGCTCCGGGCGGGGGAAGCACGGTGTGGCGGCCAGAGAGAGGCCTGGCAGCGGGGAAGGGGGCTGGCCTGCTCCACCCCCGCAAGCAGGGCCTGCCACCTCCATTGCCGAGGCCACAGCAGGTGGGGGAAGCGCAGCACGGCCGCCTCCCCCCTCCCCAGGCCAAAGGAGGGAAGTCCCCCGAAGAAGGGGCTGCTGCCTTACCGTCCCCGGCTGCAGCGGGTGAGGGAAGGGTGGCGTGGCCACCTCCCCCATCCCTGAGGCGATGCAGGCCCCGCACAGGGTCCCTGCCACCGAAGGTGTTGGAGCAAGGTGGACCGGGCGGGCAGTCAGGAATTACCTCCTCCTCTGCCGTCCCCGGCCTCTGCTGTCCCCCTCAATGACAACCCAGTTTTCCGGGGCTGCCGCACCCTCCTAGTGCCATCCCTGGCCTCACCCCCCACCCAGCAATGTCGCCTGGAATCGCAGCCTCCCTTCCCCGGCTCCTGGCGGCAGCATTCGCTTGCAGTGTTCGCCTCCCACCTCCCGGCCAATGGCATGCCGGCAGCCTTGACCGGCAGCTGGCAGGCCAATGGCTGACGGCGCACATTTTTTCTTGGCTCCCTTACTCAATTATATATAAGGAGAGATTCCATTGCTGATTTAAAAAAAAAAACACACACTGGTGGCAGGGAGAATGGCTGCCATGGGAGTGGGACTGGGAAAATCCAAATTTTCCCACCCAGCCAGCCGCCATCCAGACTTTGCTGCAATCATTCCCAAAGCTTTGTAGCAAAGCGGGCTTGGGAAAGGGTGAAGAAAACCCCAAAGGTGCATGAATGCACCACAATGCTGTGGGGAAAGCAGGGGAGAAAGAATCTTAACAGCATCAAACCCAGAGCATAGAACACATGTGGGAAAGGTTTAGGACTGTTGGTTTGGCAGTAGCTAGGTCACAGACTTTCTCTGTGGTAGGTTTTCATTTTCCAACCAATGTTCACACCATTAATTCCTTTAGTTTGGCAGGATGTATAGAAAATGTTGACTTTTATTTCTTGAGAACACATCAAACACGAACTAAACACTTGAAGAAACAAAATCCCTTCAGCACTGAAGCCTGCTAACTGCCATCTCCATTTCCCAGAATGCCACATGGTTTGATCTTAAAAGGGAAGTAGCATATAAAGACTCAAACATAAAATTTACATCAGCTATTATTACCTATCATACCTGCACCAGTTTCACTGAACTCTAATCCTAATGCCACTCACAGATGCGGTTAGCTTTGTTCTAAGTCCATACCTCCTCTTCTGCTAGGCCATCACATTCACAGAAAGGCTTATATGGAACACCATGAGGCCTTTGGACAGCAATGGCATTGTGTCAGTCCTTCAGCATAATGGAAAGCCAGCCTGGGAAAGTGTGTGGTCCCAGAGTGTCACACTTTCTTTCATGGAATTTTATTGGCAGGGGGAGTACAGGGGATGAGAGATGTACCTTTGTATAGAAATAGTGTCCAAACATAGTATGCTTCACACAATTTGACATGGATAACATATTTTGCTTAGATCTTATCTGCCATAATACAGGACAAACACTCTCAGCAAGAAGTGTCAGAACTGGAAGAACCACCAGTTTAGGGCTGCTAACAGATTGGGAAGTTCAAGTTTTGAAGGTAGAGCAAAGGGTACTGATCTTTGTAGTCTAGGGATCAGTTGTCATTCCAGGCGATCTCCAGGCCCCACCTGGATGCTGGCAACCCTAGGTAGGTCCATTCCTCGAGAAAGGCCTACTAGAGTGACTGCAGAGGGTGCCTTCACTTGCTGCATTCAGGAAGCCGCGTAAAATGGTTTTATCCCACAGGACATTTGCTGGAGGGTAGTTTCGGCAGATTTTGTCACCTGTTATGCCTTAATGAATATGCAAAGCCAGTGTAAGCCCCCACCCCCCCCAGAACCTGCATTAGTTTAAGTGTCTCTATGAAAAGGTCTGGGTAATATCCTTTTCCTAGGAGCTGCGGTGGCTCAAGTGGTTAAGACGCTGAACTGCAGGCTGTGGATGGTCAGTAGTTCAGCAGTTCGAGACCCGGGTTGCCGCATGACGGAGTGAGCTCCCGTCTCTAGTTCCAGCTCCTGCCAACCTAGCAGTTCGAAAGCAAGAAATTGCAATGAGATAAATAGGTACCACTTCGGTGGGAAGGTAACAGGGTTCTGTGCGCCTTGGTGTTTAGTCATGCCGGTCACATGACCACGGAAACATCTTCAGACAGCGCTGGCTCTTCGGCTTTGAAATGGAGATGAGCACCGCAACCCTATAGTCGGATTCGACTGGCTTTCGAGCAAGGGAACCTTTACCTTTAATATCCTTTTATCTCTCACTGTTTCACGCTGATACCTGCATACCCAGGAGAGAGAGAAACTTTGTCTTGCACCATTTTAGAAAGCCCGGGAAACTAGTGCCTGTTTAATAACAATCATTGGTTAATGCATTCAGGTTCCAGGTCAGTCTAAACAATAGCACAAACTTACCAAAAACGTCATCCAGTTCTTGATGAACTTTTCTTTGCACTTCTGGATGGCAAGCGAGTAAGAAGATAGACCAGTTCGCAGCAGCAGCAGTCGTATCATGGCCCTAGGAGGGCAGATTGTTACTAGCATGAATACAATGTTCTCAGGTACCAACTTCATAGAGAAGTAAATGAATATTTTACATTTTAAGGAGTTTTGATGTTTTCAGATTTAACAAACAGGCTGACACACATTCTCTTGAGTCTCTCCTAGTGTGTGAAAATACTCCGTTAACACCTCTAATAGTGCAGTTCTAAGGAGAGCTGATGGTGAAAAGTGCCATCAAGTCACAGCTAACTTATGGTAACCCCACGAGGTTTTCAACGCAAGAGACATTTAGAGCTGGATTGCCATTCCCTGCCTCTGCATCACGACCCTGGTATTCCTTGGGGGTCTCCCATCCAAATAGTAGCCAGGGCTGACCCTGCTTAGCTTCAGCAATTTGACAAGATTGAGATAACCCAGGTCAGGAGAATTATGCCCTTCAAAATCCACTGAAATCGGTGCATTTAGAAAGAAGCAATCCGTTTTAGGTTTACAGTGGTCCTGTTCACACTAGGCGATTTGGGCCGGGAGCGGGACAGTTCGGGGGCGGAGCAAACCAGTGCGATCACACCACAACATCTGGGAAGTGTCTTGCTTCCGTCCCCGAACTGGCCCTTCCCCGCGAAAATCCGCCCCAACTTGCAACCACCTACCGTGGTGGTTCATCGGGAAGCTGCGCGGCAAGCCGGGCGTTTGATCGCCGGCGCGTCCTTGCGGCGGCGCATCCCCGGCGCCTAGCCAAACTGCGCATGCTCGGACATGCGCAGTTTGGCAGGCTCCCCGTCAGGGCCGTGTTTTCTCCCCGGCGTCTGATCGTGCCGGGGAGAAAAGGCGGCGCAGCCAGGGGGTCCGTGGGATCCCGCCGCGCCGTTTCAACTTTGGCGCGGCTTTTAAAAGCCACGCTTTTTGCCGCCTTTTCCCCTGCCGTGTGGCAGGGGCCACAGTAAGACACAAGCTAGGTCCATGTCAGCGACTTGAACTGTAACTTTGCTTTTAAAGCTCATCAAAATCAATCATAGTTCAGTCAAAACCAATTGGAAAGAATTAAGCACAAGATTAATTTTCACACTGGAATTAACAGACCTTAAATAGCTTATCTTTGCCTGAACAATGCTGAATATTTTTTTCATATGCAAGAGTGGCTCGAAAGGAAATTGCAGAACAGGAAAACACAAGCACTGGAACAACCAACAGTGGTATAATTTTTAAAGAGACACTTGTGACATTTGAAGCCACAAACTGCTAGATGAAATAGTGATAGCAGATTGACTATGAATAGCAGCAAATGTATTAAAACACTTGGAATATGCAAAGTCCATTTTTCTAGCATCTTATAATATTTGTTTCCTAATGCCATTAGGGACACAGATCAACCTACACTTTTATAAGTTATTACCTAAACAAGAGACTGGAGAAAAAAATGCTGGCAAGGAGTCAGAAATATTCTAAGTTACATATATTTAGGAAAATGTACATAGGATTGCAATGTAATGTTCAGTTTGTATGTTATTCTTCATTAGCAGTTGCTGGATAAAAAAATTAAAATGGAAAATCTGCCCCCCCCAAATCTATTTTGTTTCTTGCATTCTGCAAACAGATGCATTTGCTCTCTCAGAGATAAAGTATCTTTCTCCTTGTTGTTTTATTTATTTTGGTTTTACCCTGCTGTATTCCAGTAGTTCAGAGAGAACATCAGCAGTAATGAATGAGAGAAGAGCTTTTTCAAACCCTCTTCAAGGGCTCACAAAAGAAACAGAACAGAGTGAACTGCAAGTAAAAAAGAAAAGGTCCATCAGCCACATATATTTTGGTTTTGTTGAATACATAGGACAGTCAAACTGCAAGGAGGCTGTGCTGCCCATGAATATGAAACAGCCAATCCACTGTGAGAGCCTGAGGTCCAATCACCTTGGGAGAGGGCTGACTGAATGTTGTGGGTAGTGCAATGGTGAACAGTTCCAGGAGGTCTGCCACAGAGAGATGTTTGAGTTTGGCTCTGCCTGAGGAGTGGTGCAGAGAGAAAACTAGCTGTGCCTCAGGAGGAAGGCAGAGTGATAGTTTCAGATGTGTCTCTGGTTATGGGCAGACTTGTAAACATTCAAGTCTGTCTCTTGGGACGGGGTGGGCTGATGAGATTAGAACCCCTGTGTGTTTAACCTGATGTTTAGGCTGAAGAAACCTAACAGAAATCTATGTCATTCCAAGAAAAGCACTGAGAAAATTACAGGCTGAATAAATATTACTCAGAGGAAGTCTAGAACTGGAAGTCTCTGCGATCCAAAAAAGTTAACATGTACTTGAAATCTTACTGAAGCGGTAATTTGAACATAAGCATATGAACTCCTCAGCCATGTTACTCCTTCTCTGTGTTTGGAAGTCCATGCCTAGTGACGTGTTTAAACAACTCTCCTTAGTTAAATAACCATTTTTGTTCATTTTTTGCTTGTGTCTCAGAAGTCTGCTGTAACTCAAATAAAAATACCTCACAACAGCAAACCCTACATATAGCCACCCCAACTAAGGCTTTTACATGTTGCCATATTTTCACTGTATGAACGTGGTGTGGAGAAGGAAAAGAAGCTTAATCCCCCCATATTATAGAAGACTGCCACAAAGGGCTGTCACAGTGGAGGGTCAAGCAGGTGGTATGCCACAAAACTTGATAAGTGGGCTGCATTCAGCTTGGCGGTCATAAGCTGTGGAGTCCCGAGGAATACCCCCCCCCCAAAAAAAAAGTAGAATGTAAAATATACTTTTAAGAAAATAAATTTCTTCTACATGATGTATAAATATATTTTTTTGAATAAATTTAAAAATATTTTTTTAAACTTACCGAAATTGCATGTAGCATTAAAATTACACATATATAAATTGAACGAATGTATATACAGATAACATTACTACAACAGTATTCTCAATTCTCTCTGACATATATAGATATGTAAATGTACTATCTGTACCTATGAGCAATGTGCTCCTTTGTTCTGCTTTCCTTCTCCTCAAATAGGATAGCTTGCCTGGCATGGTGATGAGTCTCATCTGATAGGACAACAGTCCAGAACTCTTTCAAAATGCTACTGTTAACACTGCAGTCCTACGCACCTGGGAGCATGCCTCATTGAAAACAGTGGGACCTACTTCTGAGAAAGGAGCATAGGATTGCACCATAAATTTACTGCAGAATATGCTTTATTAAGCAAAGGCCTATGTCTGAGCACCTTCAATAACCATCATCAAGCAAGGGTCTAGGACTGAGTATCTTCTAGCACCACAAAAGGGCAAAGTCACACCAATACTGCTAAGAATTTTTTAATAAATGCCAGTTCTTTTTGAATCAACATGTTCATCAAGTAGCTGTCTGGGGAGGTTTAATGGTTCTTCATTTTTTGCCTAATGTTTGCTTGTGTTAAATAACAAGCCAGTGGCTGCTCAACAGTCAAATAAGGTATGCTAATGACAGTTTGTTTCTCCCATTCCCCCTGCTGCTTGTCAGGACTGGTGGGGCATGGCTGTGTAACTGCTTTGGATACTGAAGATCCAAGGGTCAATCTCTGTCATCTCCAGTTTTAAAAATTGGTGAAACAAAGGACCCGAGACCTTGGAAAGCCAATGCCAGTCAGAGTAGACTACAATAACCTTGCTCGATCAATTATTTAAATTTAAAGAACAAGAATTTCAATTAAGGGTAGGTACATATTGATCATGAACACAGAAGTGTCTCACTTGCTTAAACTGAGTTGCTTTTTGTCAGATAAGCATATATAAATTAGTTTCAAAGACATTAACCCAGCTCCAGTGGGCCACTTAGGAACAGAGTATGAGAAAGACCTCTCCTGATCTTTCCATCTTAATCCTGGGCTTTCATCAAAATCTAGCACAAATCAAATTGCTGTGAGGGTCTCTCTTTCTCTCAGCACAACCTAGATTACATGTAAAACCAGACAGCTCCATAAATATCACCTCATCCTCCTTGGCAAGTGGGTAAGGTACAAATGTAATAAGTATGTATAGCCCTGAATAGAGATTTCCTTATTTACATTTTAGGAATAGGTTTGTAGTCTGGGGACACTTTGAATCCAGGTTTAGGAGTCCTCTCTGTATGCCTGAACCCACAATGCAATGCTCTTAACCAGTATGCAGCACACGGCCTCTAAAGATTGCACTCCCTACCTCAAACATGAATGTGTCCACTTCCTCTCGAACATCTTGGTAGCTTAACTTCTTCCCATCATCATCAGTGGCATTAAGAAGCATATCAAGGAAAGCTCTCCGCACTTTGTGCCCACTTTGTTCATCAGTGCTTTGATGTTGCTCCCGATTTTCTAGTTCACGAGCTTTTTCTGCGATAACCTTCAATATTAAAAAAACCCTCAAATTATGGAATCCAGCGTGTATTTCAAGCAATGCCATAAAAAGAAATAGCTACTCTGCCCTATGTACTGTACTCTGAACCCAAAGCCGTGGCAAGGTTATGGGAGATTTATCCTGAGAGAGGTGTAGAAAGAAGGTTACTTCAGACTTTGTATGAATTAGAAGCATCAGACGTGGAAAGAGAGAGGATCAAGAGAAGTACAAAAAAGGGTCCCAAATACTTAAAGGACCACTTCTCCCTGTACGAATCCTTGCAGCAGCTTTGGTCATCCATACCTGTGGTTTCCCTCCCGAGTAGGGTGCAGTAGACATTTTCAACAGTGGCTAAAATGATCTACATAGCAAAACTAGATGTCTATCCACACTTGGAAGAATGGGAAAATAAACTTGTCAAATATGCAGTAATGGCAAAATTAACAACTTATTTGAGAAACAGATCAATTAAGAAATCTGAGGAGAGATGAAGTGTGTACTATGAACTACGACAGTTTAGAATGAAAAACAGTTTAATATATTGTATACAAATGTACTGTAATGAAGCAGCAGAATAAGAATCAGTTTTAAATGTAACATCTTCACTGTAAATGTATGTAAGGAAGTGGACTTTGGGGAGAAACATCTTCTCTTTTCTTATTATAAGATATATAATAAACATTCCTTCTGTATTTTTGCTATATTACCTACTTGTTAAAAGTAATAGTGAGTATGCAGAAGAGGTGAAAACATGTAATACTGAGCATGTAGTAATGATGAAACTAATAATGTAGCTGCAAAAAATATTAGTTATGAAATTTGAAATGTAAAATGTTGAATATAAATGTATCCCAACAGAAGTATCATTGTACTTTATAGACAAATTTCCCTAAAAAATTTCAATGTAACGAAGGGGGTGCTGGGGAGAAGTATTTTCTGCTTTTTATACTGTGTTATAGATAACAATCGTTGATATTGGGCTCTTTTTGTAGCAGGAACTCCTTTCCATATTAGGCCACACCCCCTAATGTAGCCAATCCTCCAAGAGCTTACAGAGCTCTTCTTACAGGAGCTACTGTAAGCTCTTGGAGGATTGGCTACATTAGGGGTGTGTCGCTTAATATGCAAATGAGTACCTGCTACAAAAAGAGCCCTATATCTAATAGCTAAGGCGCCCCCCCACGTGCAGATATCTAAATCCGCACATCGGGGGCACCTGGGGGGCAGGGAGATTTTCCTGCCCATTTGGGGCAATCCCCAGATGTGCAGAAAAATCTAAAAACTGTAAAAAAAACTATAGGGGGAATACTTAAATTCCCCCAAAAGTAAAGGAGCATTCCCTGCGCATGCGCAGGGAAAGTTCTGAGAAGGCTTTGCTGCTGCCACAGGGGACGGGGGTGGGAGAAGGCTTGGTGGGCTGGGCTCGCCGCCACTGCTGCTGGGGAGGGAAGCTTGGTGGGCCAGCCTCGCCACTGATGCTGGGGAGGGACAGGGGAAGGAGAAAGCTTGGCGGGCCAGCCTTGTTGCCACCACTGCTGGGGGAGCGAGAAAGCTTGGAATACTGGCCTCGCTGCTGCCACTGGGGGGGACGGAGGGGGGAGGGAGAAAGCTTGGCGGGCCAGCCTTGCCACTGCCACTGGGGGGAGGGAGGGAGGAGGGAGAAGGCTGGGCTCACCTACTGCCGCGTTTCCTGCTTCTGCAGGCCAGGAGCTTTGGGGAATACTCCCCCCCAAAAAAGTATCGCAGGTCCCACCTCTTGTCTATATACTAATAGCCAAGGGTCCCCTCTCTGTGCAGATACTTATTTCCGCAGATTGGGACCACATGGAGGAAAAAGAGATTATCCTGCACATGTGAGTTACTTCCCAGGTGTGCAGAAAAATCTAAAAACTTTAAAATATAGAGGGGGGAGTTTAAAAACAGCCAAAAAGTAAAACAGAGTTCACTGCGGCTGCGTAGAGAACGGACTTACCAGGGCAGAGGGGGAGGAGCCTTCTCTCCCCGTCCCTCTCTCTCCTGTTGTTCTGATAGCACTGAGTCCTCCCCATGGCCACGCCCCCTCCACCGAACGTTCAAGCCTCCAACAGACAACATTGTGATTTAAAGCAAACTGCAGCAGCTCTCAGCTCTCTTCACTGTGCTTGGGCAGCTCCTTCCACTTTGCAAGAAGGAAGCGCACATACATACCACCATCCCGGGGGAAACTGGAGCAGGTGAGAGAAGTTCCCAGTGCCTCCGCTCTTCTTCTTCCCCCACCTCCTCCCAGCTAATTACGTTTTAGGTTTATTGATTGAAGGGGGGGGGAAACAGAGTGGGCAGGGAGGAAAACCTCTTTTTCTTCGGAGAATGCAAGAGTGTGAGTGTGTGCCAAACTTCCTTCTCAGATACTAGATGCTAGAGCCAGCAAGCTTTTCCATCACCCTTTGCAAAGAAGCCTGGAACAGAAGGATTTTTCCCAGAGGTGGGTCAGCCTGGCCAGGTCTTTCCCTGCATTGGAATGCCAATAGAGTGGGAATGGCAGAGGCTTCAAATGTAGCTCCCCCCCCCCAGCGACGCTGCTCTTTGATGCCTCATCCTGACCAAAGTGGTATTGCGTAAATCAGCTGTAATGTTGAGTTACAGTAGTTTAGTCATGGGAATGCTATTAAAACTGCAGAGCTCTGATAACAATGATTACTTTTAAACTGTGGGGTTTCTCTGGACTGCAGCCACCAGTGTTCCCTCTAAGCTGAGTTAGTGTGAGCTAGCTACAGCTTTTTAGCCTCCAGCTCACATTTTTGTCCTAGCTCAGGGAGTCACATATATATATTGTGGACATTTTCAGTTGCTGCCCCATTTTATGGAACAGACTCCCTGGACATGTGAGAAAGACTTCCTCATTGATGACTGAATTTGGAGGATCAGTGAGTGGGAGAAACAGGGGCTTCAAGTGGCAATGCTATGAATTCTCTTGCTGGCTTCTGGTGTAAGTTTTAGTTCTACGTTGTCATCCACTTTGGATCCCAGATTTCTGGGACGATGGTAGGCTTATACATATTTTACACAAATAATAAATCACTATCACTAAGGTAAAGGTAAAGGTAAAGGTTCCCTTGCTCGAAAGCCAGTCGAATCCGACTCTAGGGATGCGGTGCTCATCTCCGTTTCCAAGCCGAAGAGCCAGCGCTGTCCAAAGACGTTTCCGTGGTCATGTGGCCGGCATGACTAAACACCAAGGAGCACGGAACGCTGTTACCTTCCCACCGAAGTGGTACCTATTTATCTACTTCCAATGTTTTGCTTTCGAACTGCTAGGTTGGCAGGAGCTGGAACTAGAGACAGGAGCTCACCCCGTCTTGCAGCACCCAGGTCTTGAACTGCTGAACTACTGACCTTCCACAGCCTGCAGTTCAGCATCTTAACCACTTGAGCCACCACAGCTCCACTAAATCACTAAACCCATGCACAATTCTTCTGGGAACAAGGACTTAATTCTGACAAGCAGAATATCAAATTGGTTTAGCAGATCATTATCACCTCTAACAAAGCATACTTAAAATGTAAAATAACTATTTTTAAAAAAGAAGTAGCTATTTTCAGCCAATCTAGACCACACTTCTCCCTAGATTCAGCCATCAACTGGAAATCAGTTTTGAACATTTGACATTCAAGTCAGCAACTGACCCTATAATATTTGAACATATACTACTAATAAACAATGGGATACTTTTAATCCAGCAACCAAACAGAGCCTCTGAGGTATAGTGCTTAAAACACTGGTGCTGGATCTGGGAGATTCACCATGAAACTCAGTTGAAGGCCTAAAGACCCTCAATTAGTTTAATTTACCTTGCAGGTCTGTTTTCAGATTAAATGAAATATCCCATGTGTGGCAGAATCGGCCTGCTCTGGCCTGCAGGCCCTATTCCACCCTGCCCTCCAAGGTTTTTCCAACATCTGGAGAGGCTTTTCTTTCTCTCTCAGGTAGCCCATCACCACCAACTGACGTTTGTAAGGGATTTCCCACTGAGGCCTTGTCTCTGTTTGCCACTGCCCAGCACCTGGTCACCACAAGGACAGTTTACTGCCTTGTGTGCCCCTGGAGGAATAGACACTTGCCAACTGCCTGTGTTTCCCCTGGCACTCCTTTTAAAATAGTGTGTCTGAGACAGTGGAAGTCTATGTGGTACAGAAACCCACTGCCAGCATAAAAAGTTATAAAGTATTTATTACAAAGAAAATGTTCATAAGCACACTTTTAGCACAGCACCGGATTGAGCAAAGATTCCAAAAGAAATGGGTAAAACACAAATCCTCTGTCTCTCTCTCTATACATGCCCTCTCAGATGTTAAAATATAAGACAAGTTCTTTAGCTCAGGAATTCTAGATCTCTACACAATTACTACTGAAGCTTGCTCCAATTTTTAGGTGAGCACATGATCTCTGCCTTCCCAATGGAGAGGTCTGCATGCTCTCATGGACTCAGCACCGAGGGAAGAGAGACTTCCTTCCTGCTGCAAGGAGTTCTTATCATATCTGTTTCTCCACCCACTGACCAGGTCACACCAAGTCAAAGAGGCTTTCCTGGAGATTTCCAGGAATCTTCTTCCTGAAGACTCTCTAGGATTCTATTCCTTCAAATCTCTGTTCCCTGCTTGTGGAAAGTGGGAGATCTTGACCCACCCATTATCTCTCCTGCTAGATCTATTAGCATTTATATGAAGGTGAGCTGAGGTACATCTGGGAAGCAACTGAACTGACTCCCTTCCCCCCACCTGGTCTCTGCCCAGAGGATGGAAAAAACTTTTAAACCACAATGTGAAGGTTTTGCTCATTTCAAACCTCCCAATAAAAAAAATGTGTTTCTTCACACCATGTGTGCTCACTTGAGCTCCACAGAGGATGTGGAAGATACAAATGTGATACATGAATGAATAAGGTCACAAAAATGTCAACAAGCAAATCTGGAAGAACTTTCATATTGCATCTCGACAGGATGACTTTGATCTTTCTGACCATGCAATGCTACGGGAAGGAATAACTCAGCACCTTACATTATCAGTAAAACTGTGAAGGATCTTCAGCCCTCTGCGATGCTCTCTTCCTTCACTGAACATGAGATACAAAAGATCAGCCCAAAGCCAGGGACTTTTCTGTCTGTGGTGAATCAACTCACTCATCCTAAAGTAACACACAACAGCATTAAAATGTATTTTGTTCTACAAATGGGTTCTAAAGAACAAGGAACAGCCTGGATTTCTTGGTAATGAGTTGAACAACAGCTGATCATATACAAAGTCAGAAGTGACATAATTGTTTACATGTCAAAGGGATACAAATGGCCCCTGATTAAATATTTACAGGGAAACTCTATCGAAAATTCCAGCTGGATCAGGCACATTTTGTCCTTTGTGTATGCTCCAAAGAGAACTTGCCTGATCCACATGGTATGACATCTGCCACTTGGAGTGCTTTCAAGCAGCCACCACCAAGACATCCATACAATGGCCTTGAAATAAGTTGAATATTTTTACACTTGTAGTGGATAAATTGACAGAGGGTAGTGCATATCCCAAAACCAGCTCACAAAGCAGAAATTTCCCCCTAATGTTTAAATGGGAAGCTGCTTGCCCAAGCTCATTTGAGTGCATGAAATTAACGGCATACTTCTTTGGTTCCACACTTCAATTACCAACCCAATAGTGAAAGAAATGGGTAGGAAGACACTTGCTGGTCAGCAACTTGTGAGGAGGGAGGGAAGGGTACTTAAGTTTGGCAACCTCTACTCTCTTTCCTTTCCAAGTGGCTCTTTAGCAATATTAGTTGTTGACCAGAACTTCTATGATGTCATATGTTTCTGACAACAAAGATGGGGGAGAAGAGTTTCTGTCCCCATTCTCTTCATGAGGGTCCAACAACTCCTCAGGAACAAAATTTCAGCATTCTAGGTTGGCTGCAGAAGGAGGGGAGGCAGGAAAGCCCTGCTTCCTGCAGGACATGGGCCAAGAACTTCAGTGAACAAATAATCATACTTCCACCTACCTATAGACAGACCGAACATATTCCGAGTCACTATTGCTTTGGGCACCTATGTTCTTTCCCATAGCTGTTTCTGGAAATAGGAAAGAAAGAGAAATTAGCAAAATAATCACCTACCTATACACTGAAAATGAGCTATTCCTATCCCTTTGTTTGTAGTTAAAGGCTTCTTTCCCAACTACTGGTTAAATTGCAGCAGCCTGCGATACACACATACCCTGGGATTTGCCAGCTTCCCCTCCCCTCTACTCTCATCTGTTTCCACATTCTAATCCGAATATATCCAGTTCTTCCCCTCACCCCCAGATCAGATTTAAAATTCCTTTTTTGTACCATGGTGAAAAAAAGAATCAGCACTTTATTGAATAGTTTTTTAAAAAATGTTAAAGGGTAGGTGGCTCAAGTGGTTAAGACACTGAACTGCAGACCGGAAGGTCAGTAGTTCAGCAATTTGAGACCCGAGTGCCGCATGATGGAGTGCGCTCCTGTCTTTGGTCCTAGCTTCTGCCGACCTAGCAGTTCAAAAGCTAGTAGATAAATAGGTACCACTTTGGTGGGAAGGTAACAGCGTTCCGTGCGCCTCGATGTCTAGTCATGATGGCCACATAACCATGGAAATGTCTTTGGACAGCGCTGGCTCTTCAGCTTGTAAACGGAGATGAGCACCGCATCCCTAGAGTTGGATTCGACTGGCTTTCGAGAAAGGGAAGCCTTTACCTTTACCTTTTACTAACAAAAAGTAACATCTCGTATAACACATGCAACAATAAACCAGCTGGCATAAAACCTGAAATGTTTAGATGTTGTATTTATTACAATACTTTCATAGCAACTAATAAAAATTTGTTGGGATTTACCACAGATTATATCAAGGGTACATAGAGTAATGTATAGAAAGCAATCAAATGCCTCTTTGTCCACATGCTTTTCAAGTTTCTCAACAAGGATACTGGCTTGTTCATTCATCACTTCTAGGAAGTCTGTTAAGATGGTGAAATGGAAGGTGGGAGTTAACATCTTTCTTCTGGTCCGCCATTTGCTTCCAGAACTGCAAAACAGAGGTTTTAAAATAATCTCTGAGACTTGGTGCCCTGATAATATTTACTGTGATAAAATAGATCTGGTCTCCTTACAATGAGCCTGAGGTATCACTGTCAAACATAGTATTCTGACTACTTGAAGCCTATTTTACCAACTTTATAGCCCCAGCAACTTCAGTTTATTGGATTGGTCAGCAATAAGTATTCCTTTCTGAAGCTCAAATCTATCTAAACTATTTATTGCTCCAGCTTCCAACTCAGAACACCCAGTCCAAAGCTCAGTGTCCTGGCTTTCAACCCTGCATCTTCTACTTACATACTGTATACATAGAATAAATAGGCTCCCTCCATGTGATCTGGACAGGGTGGTGGCAATGGTGGTAGTCACGAGTACTGAGCACTGGCACCATTTGCAGGGGGTCTCTCCCAAGTAGTAATGGGGGAACTGGAGAAATTGGTGCAACTTTTTTTTTTTTTTTACCAGGAAAAAAGCACTGAATTTTGAACCCAAGTTTTTTCAAACATTCCTGATTAAAGGATCCTACTTGCATACATTTTCTACACATGCAGGCTCCATGTTCGTGAGCTGGCAATCACACGTAGGCAGGGCCAATCCATTCATACCCACTCCCTCATACTCATGCTGATTTCAATATATACAATGTCACGTGTAGAGGAGCTACTATCTCAACAGTTCTGGAAGATCCAACTGGCCTGTGCTCTAAAACAGCATATGCTAGCTGTCAAAGTTCAAGTTATATGTAACTTTACCTTGTAAGAAGTCCTGTTCCCAGCCAAGGATGGAGATACTTATAGAAAGAGGCTTTCTCAATGTGCTTTGAGCTGCTCAAAACCACCTGCCAGTAGATGAAAACAACATACCGTCTGAGCAAAGCAACAATTACCCATCTCCTCACTATCCATTCCATTTAGCTTTAAAAGTCTGCTAACTAAACAAATATTTTTTCAGTTGAAGATGATTCTTTGAGATTAGCATACCATTAATACTCCAAAGTGGTGAGAGTGGTTTACCAAAGGAAAAATACAGAAATATATTATTTAGCAGTCTTGCACAGTGTCTTCAGATTTGCCACATGCACAATTGCAGGCAGGTTTATTTTTATATTGATAATTTATTGTTTTAATTGTAAGCTGCCTTACACAGCACTCCAGAGAGTTGGCACAGAAATCTCCTAAATAAATGAATAAATCTGCTGCATAAAAAATACCTCAAATTTTGCACCAATGAAAGCCAAAGCTAACAACAGAAGTGGAATTCTGCAACTCATATATCTTTGGATTAATTTATTCATTGTTTTAAAAAACTATATATTAACTTCTGCTAGTCAAAAGGATGGGCCAGAAGGGGCCACAAGATGCTGAAGCCTCTTGTTTGGACCTCTGGAAATTTTATTCAGCAAGTTCTCTGGCTTCTAAGATTTACCAGGCGTTGCTTGCATAAAGTATCCTTTAAAAGAGAAAAAGAGAGAAAGCTAGTTTCCTACAAAGGCATAGCCTATTTACATCCATTTGTCTAATGTTTCTTTTTATTGTGACCAGGGCTGAACACACTGACTGCCTATTATTTTACTATTGTCAAATATTTCACGAAAGGATACCATTATGAAGGTACCATTTGTTAGCCAAAAATAAGTGCCACTTTGTGGTAATCATACACAAACCTAGCAGTATAGCAAAGGTTTCCCCAACTGGTCATCTCTAGACATTTCGAAACAGGGACAAAACATAAATAGTCGCTAATGGTGAGGTCATTGGCTAGTACCAACCATGACTCCATTTTGCTTGCTGAAGAAATCAGGAGGAAAACCATCTTAGTTTTTTATTTCTATTTTTTCTTTTTAAAAAAATCTTTCCTTCTAAAAATTATTTTTCAAATGTAGGCTGATGCTGGTGTTCTAAATTAAAAGCCAAAAGGAAGAAGTGTTCTGTGAATTGTTCAGATTTATAGAAACCTTAGCAGACACTGTTAAACTATATAATAATTTTGTATAATTCTTTCAAAAGTTAATTTTATTACTTCACCTAAGTTTTATTAGCACTTGTTGTTGTTCAGTCGCACAGTCGAGTCCGACTCTTCGCTACCCCATGGACCAGCTCCCGCCAGGCCCTCCTGTCTTCCGCCGTCCTCTGAAGTTTGCTCAATTTCATGTTTGTTGCATCTATGACACTGTCTAACCATCTAACTGTCTAACTAGTTGATGACTGAAGTACTGTTTTTATTGTTTTGATAACGTTAGAGACAAACTAGATGTGACCGCCATGAGGATGCTGCCACCATTTTAAAGTCATTTTAAAAATGCCATGAGGGCTTGATCCTAATCAGGTCCCCAGGGCAGTACTCTTAGTTTACCACCTTCTGCAACTTTTCAGGTAGGGTTGCCAGCCTCCAGGTGGGGTCTGGGGATCTCCTGCTTTTACAACTGATCTCCAGCTGACAGAAATCAGCTCCCCCAGAGAAAATAGCTGCCTTGAAGGGTGGACTCTATGGCACTGTACCACACTGAGGCCCCCCCCCTTCCCAAACTCCGTCCTCTCCCGGATTCACGCCCAAAGTCTCCAGGTATTTTCCAACCCAGACCTGGCAACACTATTTTCAGGTGCTGAAACAGCCTCAAGGGGCCTGTTCCAGGGGAACAAGAGTGTCATACTGTGGGCCCAAGCAGGATTGGGCCATCATGGCATTTTAAACAACATTAAAATGGCAGCAGCATCCTTATGGCTGCCATGAGGATATCTTCACATCTAATTTGGCCCTTTGAAAAGAAAGGAATATAAAGGGTTGACCATGTTCTTACAAAATCACCAAACGAGTTATAAATGGTTGGTGCCCGAAGGACTAGTTTTCAAGTTTAAAGATAAAAGAGAGAAAATAGACTCCATCTTCAAGGCTCAAGATTTTTTGAAAAGGCACGCCAGCAAAGAAGAAGGGGCAGAACTGGCCAAGTGGATGTTGACATTAAGCGTGGAAGACAGCAGCTCGGAGGGAGAGGTACAGGACGAGGAAACCAGAGGAGCGATGGGTTCGAAGTATAACCTGAGAGAGAAAACCCAAAGTCTAGAAACTCTTTCTATTTTTCGGATTACGCTTTGAAAGTGAAATTAATCTCAGAAGGACATTACTAACATATTAATTGCTATGTTTAACAGAAATAGAAGAAAAGAAGAGCGCCTGACTGCAGAAGAAATGATGGACTTTTAACTTTTAATACTAAAAGAATAATATACTAATACATTAACACCACTCAACTCTTTTCTTTATCCCTCTATATACCCTTCCTATTTTTCTGAATTTTAAGCGTAATATCTCTCCTTTTTAGGAGAGGGAATAAAACTTTTTTTAAAAAGATGCTGAAACCTCATGTTTGGACCTCTGGACATTTTATTCAGCAAGTTCTCTGGCTTCCAAGATTTACCAGGCGTTGCTTGCATACCTTAAAGTATGCTTTAAAAGAGAAAAAGAGAGAAGAGCAGCAAGTGACATTCTCAGGAAGCTGAATTCCACAGAAAATAATACAATGTGTATCTTTTCTGAATGCCTGCTAAATCCTGACATATGCACAGCATTACCCATATGGCCATGACAATATCATTCCTGAGGCATATTTTGACTTTTAAAACTGGATAGATGTGAGCAGCTAGTTTCCTACAAAGGCATAGCCTATTTACATCCATTTGTCTAATGTTTCTTTTTATTGTGACCAGGGCTGAACGTCTAATGTTTCTTGACTGCCTATTTTACTATTGTCAAGTATTTCACGAAAGGATACCATTATGAAGGTACCATTTGTTAGCCAAAAATAAGTGCCACTTTGTGGTAATCATACACAAACCTAGCAGTATAGCAAAGGTTTCCCCAACTGGTCATCTCTAGACATTTCGAAACAGGGACAAAACATAAACAGTCACTAATGGTGAGGTCATTGGCTAGTACCAACCATGACTCCATTTTGCTTGCTGAAGAAATCAGGAGGAACACCATCTTACTTTTTTATTTCTAATTTTTCTTAAAAAAAATTATTTTCTTCTAAAAAATATTTTTCAAATGTTGGCTGATGCTGGTGTTCTAAATTAAAAGCCAAAAGGAAGAAGTGTTCTGTGAATTGTTCAGATTTGTAGAAACCTTAGCAGACACTGTTAAACTATATAATAATTTTGTATAATTCTTTCAAAAGTTAATTTTATTACTTCACCTAAGTTTTATTAGCACTAGGTGATGACTGAAGTACTGTTTTATTGTTTTGATAACGTTAGAGACAAACTAGATGTGACCGCCATGAGGATGCTGCCACCATTTTAAAGTCATTTTAAAAATGCCGTCCTCTGAAGTTTGCTCAATTTCATGTTTGTTGCATCTATGACACTGTCTAACCATCTAACTGTCTAACTAGTTGATGACTGAAGTACTGTTTTTATTGTTTTGATAACGTTAGAGACAAACTAGATGTGACCGCCATGAGGATGCTGCCACCATTTTAAAGTCATTTTAAAAATGCCATGAGGGCTTGATCCTAATCAGGTCCCCAGGGCAGTACTCTTAGTTTACCACCTTCTGCAACTTTTCAGGTAGGGTTGCCAGCCTCCAGGTGGGGTCTGGGGATCTCCTGCTTTTACAACTGATCTCCAGCTGACATAAATCAGCTCCCCTGGAGAAAATGGCTGCTTTGAAGGGTGTACCATGCTGAGGCCCCTCCCCTCCCCAACTCCTCCCCTCCCCAAACCCTGCCCTCTCCCAGATCCACCCCAAACGTCTCCAGGTGTTTTCCAGCCCAGACCTGGCAACACTATTTTCAGGTGCTGAAACAGCCTCAAGGGGCCTGTTCCAGGGGAACAAGAGTGTCATACTGTGGGCCCAAGCAGGATTGGGCCATCATGGCATTTTAAACAACATTAAAATGGCAGCAGCATCCTTATGGCTGCCATGAGGATATCTTCACATCTAATTTGGCCCTTAGTATTTAAAATACTTGATCAATATTTGACCACTATTTCACTGGTCAAATGCCCAGCTCTATTTAGTCAGCTCAGACAACACCAAACTGTCTTAATCATAGTTTAGAACCCAAGCTAAGATGTGACCTTCCAAATGTACAGGCAAATGTACTGAGCTTCTTGTCTACTTTCCTTTTCTGACTGGCCAGCAGCTTCCAGAGTCCATGAGAACTGGATCGCCTCCCTTAATTAAGCTCACCATTTTACAAAGATAAATAGTTGGTGCTAATCATTTCTGTTTCAATTCCCAAAAGAAAAGAAAGTCTGCCCTCATACTTGCCCAGAAGCTAGGATTGCAAATGGTGAGAGGGTTGGGGGTAGGGACATGGGTATGTGTGACATCAGCTGTGTCGCTGTGTCATTTCTGGGAAAAACAAAAAGTGGCATAGGGAAACACTAGGAATTGCTGGAGAAACCATAGTGGGAGGCCCAGCAGTCCTTACAGAAGCCAATCCACAGGCTGTGGAACTGCTGCTTCATGATCCTAAATGTCAGGGGGTGATGTTAAATTGAAAGTATCTTACAGGTCTCAGACCCCCTTCTTTTATGATGACATCACAAGTTCCCAGAACTCACTGGGGGGCTAACCCCTGGAAAACGCAACATCACAACATCAGCATAACCCCTGCTTAGAGGGTGAACAGGTTCTCCCACCTATTCATCCACAGGTTCTGTCATCTACCTCCATGTCTCACCTTCAGTGGCAAGCTGGTCACTAGATAAATTAACACAGCAGGTGAGAGAGGAGAAGATTACAGGGCTGGGGAATGAATGAGCTGTGTACATATGAATGTGTACATATTTCATATATTATATTCTTTTGTTGTACTGCTCTTTAGTTTTGTAAATCTACTTTTTGTATATCACACTTTATAGTACATTCGATAATTCTGTAATCTGGTTTTTATGTCTGCTGTATGCATTATATTGCTTCTACTGCATCATCTTTGATCGTACAACCCACCTGGAGCCTCAGTGAGAAAGACAGCCTATAAATGAAGATCTGGAATCTGAAGTGGTGGATTTCCATATCTTAGTCCAAGTTGGGTCATCTAATGTCGTTCTATCGTAGCTTTGTTCAACTGACCTTAGTTATTTTTGATAAAGCAATTCTGCACATCAAAATCCAGCATAAAACTCCACCTTTTTATTATTAGAGTGCAATCAATGCAAATGTGTCCCGTTTTAGTGATTCTTGATCATTACACACAGAGAGAGACCCAGAGTGCTCAACAGAAGTTCTGAAACTAGTAGATAATTAACATGACGTCTGCATTAAAAGCAACTGTTATTCTGATAATGTGAATTGAAGTTCAAAGTTTTATATAACCTAAGCACAAAACATTTCTGTCTGTTGTTCTTGGATAACATATGTGTATCAGCGGGTTCCAAGGTTGTTTACAGCAAAGCTATTTAAACATGAGATGCAACCAAAAAAGGAAGCTTGCCTAAACAGTCCAGGCTACATAGCAACAATTAATACTGGGCAAGAGTTAATAGTTCAGTTCTCAGCATAGTTCCTCAAAAGAAAGTCTCAATACGTTTCATCAGACTTACTCCCAGGAAAACATGCCTAGGATTGTACCCTGTTATTTAGAGTTCTAGGCAGGGGTCATTTGGGGGGGGACGCGGGGGGACGCCATCCCCCCGAGTGAGGTGCGGGAGGGCGGGGCCTGGAGCTCCCTGCTGGTGCCCGCTGGAGGTCGCCGCTGGCTGTGGGGAGGACACACTTCCGGTGATGTCAGGGGGTGTGGCATATGCTAATGAGTTATGCTAATGAGTCCCCCTAGCTCTTTTTCTATGAAATGACCCCTGGTTCTAGGGCCCAAGTGAATGCTATCAGGATCTACGTAAAAGCAGCTGCACTGGATGTGATCAATAGCCCATCTACTCAGGTATCCTGCTGTACAGAGTGCCAACCAGATACAACCAGGACATGGGGGCCAAAGTGCTGCGAGGACTGATTTGGGAGAAAGGGGTCCTGCCTTCCCCCTCTTCGTTTTCCCAAGCCAAAACAGTGCCCAGGGCCACATTATTTTCCATGAAAAGGAGGTCATATCCTGTTCTGGGAATGCGTAGTTACAGGCAGTGAAGACCTGTTTGCAAAAAGGAAAACAAAGGAAGTGAGAGGAAAAGGTCAGTACTCGTGAATGGTGCAGATGGGAAGGAGCCTGTCTCTCCCCCCCCCCCATGCACTGGTTCGAAAAGCACTTTTAAATGGAGTTCCTATCAGAAACTTGCAGGTGCAATACGGCTACAAGCCTTCATGGCAGGACCTCATAGTTTAGTTCTCATGCTGTGGCATTCTTTGTAGAACTGGGTTCATACCAAGGCCTAAATATATAGATTTAGCAAGATCAAAATTACTTCTGTGCACTGTGTGAAATGGCCATTAACGTCCAGAAAACCTAAATTTAAAATTTTTTAGAAAGCTGTTTGTTGCAATATCAGGGGCTCACACGTGTCATATTTCTGTGCTTTGCTTAACTAAGACTGTAATCATAAATACTTTAATAAGGCTTTCTTCAAAGTAAATATATTTAGGACCCCGCTGCAAATATATTAACGACTGAGAAAGAAACGCACCTCTACAGTTTCTGCATGATATAAGACCAGAAGCGGCAAAGGTCCTACCCATATCTTCATTAGTGGAACATTCCGCCACTCAGTAGAGTAAGCCAAGATTTGCTTGAAGAAAGCTGGAAAACATACATGCTATTTGAATAAGTCCAAATAAGAAATTCAGTGACCTCAAAACCACTACTTTGTCAAAAACGCTTATAAAAACACCATATATCATAAACATACAATCTCTATGTAGTTCAACAACCACACAGCAGGAAGACAGCCTGATATGCACTTCTAGATTGCCGTCTGAAAATATAAACCATAAATATAAAACATAAAGTGTAGATATGAAGATGTTTTTACCTCCTCTTCCAGATGAAGACAAGAATGCACAGCAATCATTCATAAAGAACATCGTAATAACAGGATTCGGTTTATTTCTATGTCATTTTAGTCATATAACTAGCCATTCTCATAGTGGCTGCATTCAGGTGTCATGTTTGTACAAACGGTACTTGAAAACTGTGAGACCGATTCCGCAAAAGCAGTTGTTCTGCCCTCGGTCTCCCACTTCCCCCGGTTGTACTCAATTTCCCACTATTTGCTGTACGGCCACATTTTGACCCGCATCACCTCCCAATTTCCCCTCTGTCTTCTTGGTCCTAAGGGTCCTAAGGATGATGAAGACGAACAGTAAATCGGGGTGAAATGCGGGTTAAAATTGCGGCCACGCAGCAAATAGTGGGAAATTGAACAGTACAACCGGGGGAAGTGCGAGACCGAGGGCGGAACAACTGCTTTTGCGGAATCAGTCTGAGGCTCCATTCCAAGGAGTCATGTGTTGCTTCTATAACCTCTCAAATATATACTTTGGTACTCGTCTGGGGCCTTATGCAAAAACTTACTAGTGGATATACTACCACAGAGGGGATCAGGATCAAACCTGCTAGCTCTCTGGGTAAATATTTTAAAAAATTCTCTCTTTTTTTTGTAAGCTGTTGTAGTTCCCTCATGGGAGAAAACTGGCCTAAAGTGCACAACTAAATAAACAGACTGAGACGTCAACATGAGGAGCAGGGCCTTCTCTGCCCCAGCAACCCCTCTGTGGAATATTCTCAATCAGGGCTCTTTCTGTAGCAGGAACTCCTTTGCATATTAGGTGACACACCCCTAATGTCCTCCAAGAGCTTACAGAGCTCTTCTTACAAGGGCTACTGTCTCTTGGAGTATTGGCTACATTAGGGGTGTGTCGCCTAATATGCAAAGGATTTCCTGCTACAGAAAGAGCCCTGCTCTCAACTTCCGTAAGCATATTTATCAGGCATTTGGTTGATTTCCCCCCCTTCTCTTGCCCCTTGTTGCAAATAATCTGGAGGACTCTGAGCACTGTTTGTTTTTTTTTTAAATACTGCCTCATATGTTTTGTTTCTCTCTCATATGTTTTGTTTGAAATCCCCCCCCATGCATGCTAATTTGGTTGATTTCCCCCCCTTCTCTTGCCCCTTGTTGCATATAATCTGGAGGACTTTCAGCACTGATTTTTTTAAAAAAATACTGCCTCATATGTTTTATTTCTCTCTCTCTTTCTCTTTGTGCATCTCATACATTTTACTGGAGTTACTGGTTGTCTAATTTTTAATTTTTTGGGTCATGTTTGAAATCCCCCCCCATGCATGCTAATTTTTAAAAATTTTGTTTTATTGAAGATCTATGGTAATTTGGATTGAATTTTTAAAAAGCCACTCCAAGAAACATCTTGTTGAGGGATGGGATATAAATCACACACCAGCTACGCACAGAAGATACTTCCAAGTCAACGTCTGCACAGGGTTTAATGTGTGTGATAATGGGGAAGAGAAAGCCTTCAGAGATGGCCTTTCAGTAATTTGTAATACGAACAAACTTCAGATTATCTATATCACTGTTTTGACATTCAGCATATTTACCTAAGATATCACTGGAGCTGATTAAGGGTATGGTATACTCGGACTTCATACTCTGCAGATAGGAGTGCACAGGACAGAGCCTGGGAGGCCTACCTGTGGTTCTAAGTACTGCAGATAATACAAAGTGTTCAGTTCATTATGGACTTGACACTATGGTGGGGATGGTGTCCCCCCGCGTCCCCCCCCCCAAATGACCCCTGAGTATCTCCTCCTCCTAACAAGGACTTGAGATTTATCACTCACTATACCTGCTAATATCTTGTGACTATCCCACCCCTTACTGATGCTAATCCAGTGATACCACTATAACTTTCTAACTGTTTCATCCTGCAGGTCATAGCTCAGATTTTACATTAATCCTATTTTGCATATGTATCAACATTTGGGCGTTGTCCTCTCCCACTCTGGCTGGACTGATCTCTCTTTTGATTGGATATTATTTTAAAGGGACCTCCCCTTCCCCCACTTGTCTGCAGCTTTTAATAGAATGCATCAACCTCATGGATGTATTCTTCATGGCTCTGAAGAGAGCAATGACTCACAAAAGCTCATACCCCACTACAAATTTTAATAGTCTTTTATTTTTTGTATGTGTGTGTGCGCACCTGGAAGTCATGGCGACCTCTGGTGACTGACCCCTAACACTGGAGTATATTGAGAGAGGTAGCTGAATAAAGCCCGCCCCTGCCTCCTGGCTCTGGTATTCCATGGAGGTCTCCCATCCAAGTACCTGCCAGAGTCGACCCTGCTTAGTTTCCGAGATATGATGAGATCAAGCTTGCCTGGGCTATCCAGGTCAGGGCAAATTTTGTTAGTCTTAAGGTGCTACTGGATTCTTACTCTTTTCAAATGCTTCTCTGTGAGTCTCTAAAGTGCCACTGGACTCCTGTTTTATTTTCTTAATCACCGGTCACAGCCTATCCTAGTAATTAGAGTCTGCAGGTGAGGTTTTACAATATACATGCTGTATGTATAGGATTGTGGCCTAAGATGTTCATGTCTACAGTATGCCTACTGTGAAACCTCTCCTGCAAACACTGATTACAAGGATAGGCTGTCGCCACGGATTAAGAGAATGACACAGGAAGTTGTGGGTTTAAATCTTCATTTGGCCACAGACTGGCTGTCCTTAATCCAGTCAGTATTACTATTTCATCTATCTGCAGTACTGAGATAACAATCCATTAGGCTTGTTGCCCTAATGAAGTTACAACCTTAGTTACATGAAGATCTCTGTGGGAGATTAGAACAGTTTCAAAACAAAGAACACAAAGTATTCACTTGAGGAAAAGGAAAGCACATTCTTCTTGCAAGTATCTTGAGAGTTAGGCGAATTGGATTGGTCTCAACAAGAGCCATTCTGGATGTGATTAAACTGTGCAGGGGACACAGAATGGGCAACTGTTTGGCACTTCCTGTTCCTGTTCCTCTGTTTCTCCATATCTCATCTCCTCCCCCCCCCCTTTCAGGTGTTCCAGAATTCTTCAAAATCTTCAAAAAAGTTATTCTCAGAACCAAGGTGGCTAAACAGTGAATGACAAAGTTTGAGTCCAGTGGCATACACATGAAAGCTTATACCTTGAATAAAACCTTATTGGTCTTAAAGGCGCCACTGGATTCAAACGTCATTCTGCAATAAAACAAAATTTGAGTCCAGTAGCACCTTTAAGACCAACAAAGTTTAATTCTGGGTATAAGCTTTTGTGTGCACCTGTTTCTCCATCTCATCTCATCTCCTCCCCCCCACTTTCAGGTGTTCCAGAATTCTTCAGAATCCTGAAGTTATTCTCAGAACCAAGGTGGCTAAACAATGAATGACAAAGTTTGAGTCCAGTGGCATACACATGAAAGTTTATACCTTGAATAAAACTTTGTTAGTCTTAAAGATGCCCCTGGACTCATGTTTTTTATTTGTTCAAGTGAGCAGTGCCAGTAGCTCCAGTCCAGTAGCACCTTTAAGACCAACAAAGTTTAATTCTGGGTATAAGCTTTTGTGTGCACACACACTTCTTCAGATACATTGAAACAAGACTTCTTTGACCATTACATATAGGTAGAGAGAGGGTGGGGGTTAGTTGCCCAGAAGGGCTACTTAGAGTCAAGATGAATAAGTAACTGGGCAATAAGTATAGCTGAGATTGAATTAAAGCAGTTAAGATCTGAGAGTAGCAGCAAATTAGTGCACAAATACAGAGTTAACAAACAGATGTGAGAACTAAGTTTGAGTCTAGTATCACCACCAGGGCCAACGAAGTTCAGTTCTGGGTATAAGTGAGAACTGAGAGACTTAGCATGTGTAGATGCACACTACTTCAGATACACTGAAACGGATTTCCTCAATCCTTACATATAGGTAGAGGGGAGTGATAAGTTGCCAGGAACGGCTAATTAGAGTCAAGATGCATAAGTAACTGAGCAATAAATACAGCTAAGTTTGAAATAACACATTTGGTAAGACCTGTGAATAGCAGCAAATTGGCATACGGATAATAAAAGAGTTAACAACAGTTGTGAGAACTAAGTTTGAGTCCAGTGGCATATGTATGGTTAGACTGAAAGATTCTAATCTACTTTAGCAGTAGTAGAAATAGAGGTTCATGGCTTTTCACAATTACATTGTTTAGTGGAACAGAGTTGTTCTTTCACTGGTATGCATTAGTCCATAACCGGGCAGCAAGAGTTAACAAAGTGCAATTGACCAGATATGCCTGCAGGCAAGCAAAACGAACTGTTTCTCAAAAGCCAAAGTTCAAGGCTGGTAAAAAGCAAAATTAAAAAGTGGCAGTTTTCCAGTGATGTACTAGAGGGCCCCAGGGATGTATAATTTGGGGGAGGGGGGAGAAGGAGGAGGAGGAGATTGGATTTATACCCTGCCCTTCACTACTCAAAAGAGTCTCAGAGCAGTTTACAATCCCTTTCCCTTCCCCTCCCCACAACAGATACCCTGTGAGGTAGGTGGGGCTGAGAGAGCTCTTTCAAGAACTGCTCGTGACAGAACAGCTCTGAAACCACTTGTAACTGACCCAAGGTCACACCAGCAGCTGCATGTGGAGGAGTGGGGAATCAAACCAGTTCTCCCAGATTAGAGTCCACGCTCTTAGCCATTACACCAAATTGTCTCTCAGCAGGACAAAGCTGCCAAGTCCAATGTCCAGCAAAGAAAATAAAAACCACCCTGTACATATAAAAATACTGTATCAGAGAAAATCCTTCATCCTGCTTATGCTCATTCTGAAGATACTGAGAAGTATACACTTCTCTGTACAATTATGTGATGCTCCTGACCTATCAAAGTTGAGAATCACAATGTCCTTCAAGACCTCAGGCTTCCCAGGCAACATTACCTCTGCTTAATTCAAGAAGCTGTTCGCCAAACTGCATTAGAGACCAACTTAAAGGTGTAATTCAGCCAAAGATGACCATTTTTAAGACACACTGGATATCAGTCAGAATGTTTACCTTATGCCATTTAACTCTCTTCCACTGGAGCTCCAAAGAGCTATTCATGCCACTTGAGTATTCCTTAATCTAGATCTGAGCTATCTAGTAGGAGTCAACAAGCCACTGGGATTGAAACTGCCGCTTTCATATTTACTGAAACTTCAGATCTGATCCCGTTATTTCCAGGTAAATAAGTAGAGGATTTGCAACCTTAGCATACTTTCAAACAGAAGGGTTCTTATTTATTTATATCCTGTTTTTCTTCCATCTTGGAACTCAAGACGGATTATGTAGGATTCTCAGAAGGTCTCCAAACACTGACCAGACCCAGATCAGCTTTTCTTCATCAAGTCTGATGCATTATGTGACTTACAGCCATATGCTGGGGCTCATTTTCCAACTGTCAGGTGCCTAAGTTCAGTGTGCCTAACATCAGCAAGCCACATGGAGACTATACTGATTCCCATGCCAGTGTTGCTGCTAGTTTGAAGGGCATACTAGAAGATCAGTGTCACAACTGAGAAAATAAGTAAAAAAGATGGATTACCCCAGAATCGTACCTTTTGGAACTATTTTTTTTAACATGGTTGGTTTGTTCCTGCCTTGAGCAGGAAGCTGTCAGGATTTCACTAAAAAAACCCACAACAGCATTTACATCATAGATAGTTGGCATATTATACTTTCCCATAAATATATTTGCATGAGGATTCCTCAGAATCTTAAATATTTCAGTATAGCTGCAAATGCTTCTTTAGTGTTACAGAACATATGGGCAGCAATGTCACCAAATGAGATCTCTGTGCCATGTTCACGTACACCAATGTGGCACAATAATATCACCACTGTGTTTTGACATCATAGGCTCTCGTAAGCTGTATCACAAATGAACAACACTGAAGAAGCCTTTCTGGTCTCCAAGAACTTGCTAGAAATCCACCAGTCTGCTGGAACCTGAAATGTAAGGGGACAGAAAAGGTGGACCTGCATAATCTCTTCAACCTAACCATTTACATTCAGCATTCTACTGCATCTTTGTATGTATATTGTTGTTAAGTGAATTTTATAGTATTGCACTTCTGTATTTGTGTTTTATTGTATTTTAACCTGCTGTACACCACCTTGAGCCTGCCTGTGCAGGAAAGGCGGGTTATAAATCGAAAATAATAAATAAATAAAAATAATATTCCCCCCCCCAGTGATTGTATCACGTATTATAAATGGTATCTTTGTAGCATTTAAAACTATTATGTGATGCTCCTACACTACAATCTGATAAAAGCTTTACCACTGGATTATGCTGCTTGTATAACTCAGTCCTAGTATCTCAGAAATAAATGGTAGACCCTGAAGACTGGGAACTATGCGATAGCTGGCATTTGTTGCCAGTAGCCGCCAGGGAAGGAGGTTAAAAGAGTGGTGATGACAATGGATTTCTTTCTTTGGCTAGGGGCAGCTGATGGTACCACAGCCATGGTGCATATGCTTGTAGCTGTAAAAGCTACAGTGTGCTGTTAAAAGGTTACTATAAGGCTTTCAGATGCTGTAAATAATAGATTACAACATCACCATACCAAAAAATGTGTGGGTCCTAACTGGCCAGAAATTTGGGAAGTATGATGGGGTTGGGTTTAAAAGGAATTAAGCAGTAAATAGTCTGGGATAAAGTATCCGAAGCATGCATTGAAACATTGACATTGAAAGATGGGGACAGTCGCCAATCCTTAATTATCCTGACTGGAAGTGCACAGATGATTAAATCTGCTGTAATAATAATAATAATCTTTCAATTTATTAATCGCTCAATCCTGCAGAGCTGCTGGCTCTGAGCGATTTAGTTACACATTCACAAGGGACTAACAAGGATTCATAGGGGTAAGGGAGGACAACACATATAAATCTTTAAATCGCACACATTCGCAGCAGATGGGGATTTTGTTTCAGCTGTAGACTAGACATGTTCCAGACGGCATTTTTCCCTTGGCTTGGCTTGATGACGTCAGCTTTCTCCAGGACTCCAGGACTGCTTCGAGTCACAACGCCGCACTGCCGCTGCCTGGCTGGAACGGCCCATTACAGGCTTCTTGATGTCAAAGAGATTTTTCTAGGCTTCCGATCTTATGAGCTGGACATTCCGTTCGCCGGCTAACACCTCCCCCGCCGGGGGGGTTAGTGTGCCCTCCCTCTCTAAGGAGTGGTACCCATTTTATCTACTCGCTGAAGCTTTCGAACCGCTGGGTGGACGGCGAGCTGGGGACAAGGCTGGTAGCTCACACCAGCACGGGGCTAGAACTGACAGCCGTTCTGTTCAGCTCAGATGTTACTTATAACCAGAGGATAAATCCCCTGTGCCACCGCTCCCCTGTAGGGTAAGTAAACAATGTACCTAATTCTCAACTTGGCCTCTGTGGTTACTGGAGCCACAGACAGACCAGAAAGATCTTTCTACAAACATGAGAATAGACCCAGGTTTGCAGAAAAATCTGAAATCTAAAAAAAAAAAGTACATTGGAGGTTAACCTACCGCCTGATAGAAGCAGTGCCTATAGATTTAATAAACAAATGCCCTTAGTGGCCATTGCTAAGCAGTTACAATGGTATTGCCAGCCTTTAGCCCTTGGTTTCTGTCAGTAAAAGGCAGGAGCAGGGGGGGCAGACACCTTTCCCAGGTTGTTTTGGCCTTTGAGGAAAGACTCACTGAGGGCCAGGCCTGGCAGCAGCCATGGCCAACCTGATACCATGAAACTTGCATGACTCACCCAAGCCTGGCTGTTTGCTACTGTTCAAAAATACCAAAAACAACATCGTACAGTGGTTAGAGTTTCAAACTAGGATCCGGAAGACACAGGGCCAAATCTCTACTCCACCACGGAAGCTCACTGGATGACTTTGGGCCAGTTACACACTCAGCCTAACCCACCCCACAGGGCTGTTGTGAAGAGAAATGGAGGACAGGAGAATGATGTACGCTGTTTTGGTTCCCCACTGAGGAGAAAGGTGGATTGAATATGAAGTAAACAAATAATCAATATAGCTTAAAATGGGGGAGCAGATAAAAGATAGGCTGGTTCATGGTTGGGAAGGAATGAGGGAAACAGGGGAAACTGAGGATATGGGAAGCTGTCAGGAGAAGAGAAAGAAATAGTGTAGTGAGGGGAATGGAAGGGAAAGTGAGGGGTCCCCTCAAGCCCTTGCAGTTTCCCCACCTGCAACTGGGCTGAGCCTGCCCAGCACCACAAAACTCAGCCCATCTCAGCAGCTGGGACCACACAACTGGCTGGTAAGCGGGAAGAAGAGAAGGAAGCAGGAAAAGGAGAGAGGCTGTGGGGAGTTCGTGGGAAAGGGAAAAGTGGGGAAGGGAAAAAATGAGACGCCCTCTGCAAGTCCTTGTGGGTCCTCCGCTTGTCAAATTATCACTGCAACCTAGAGATGCCAAACACCAGTGGGAAAATGAACGAATGAAAATGTTATGCTTTTTATCTGCCCCCAGGAATTCATCAATCAAACCACTGGCCTGTTGAGGTAGCAATATCTCCAGGATGTTGGGAGCCTCTCCAGCATCTCAGCTGGAAATCTTCCACCTCACCCACTGCCTGATCCTTTTATCTGGTACCTTGTGCATGCAAAGCAGATGCTCAGCCACGGAGCTACAGAATCTCACAGCAGTATACAATGCTGCATTTGGAGTCTCAGGCTGCTTGAATAATCCCTGAATAAGGAAGTCGAGATTCAAATGTCTTATACTTTGGAAATCGGTTGTGTGACTGCATCTTTTTTTCTTTCTCTCTCTCCCACCCAATGCACAAGTACACTCGACTCTTCCCAAAGCCTGGAAACCCCTCCCCCCTCTCTTGAAAACAAAAGGGTGCGTTCAGATCGGCCACTAGAATCCCTGGATGGATGGCGGGCGGGCGGGAAGAAGGGGCGCATCAGATGACGGGAGAGAGAGGGAGGCAAAGCCATGTTAGCGGGGAGGGAGCGGATGCCTAGCCGCCTTTACCTTCCCCGTCGCGCTCAAAGATCAGGACGTTGCCCAGGAACGGATAGCAAGGGCTGACCCCCGGGATGGGCTTCATCTCCTGCCATACTCGAAAGTAGCAGAGCAGCAAACGGGAGGCGGAGGCCACCAGCAGGGTGGCCAGCAAGGCGACCGCGGCCGTCCCCCAGTAGAAGAGCTGGCCGCCCTCCGAAAACTTCTGCAAAAGCTCCATGTCCACCGCGGCGCCGAGAACAGCCGCGCCTTCCGGGGAGCAAAGAGTTTTGCCGCGGGGAGGAGGAGCCCGGAGGGCGAAAAAGGGAGGCCGGCAGAGCACCGAGCGAAGGCGGAGACAGCCGCGCAAGGAAAGAAGGGGGTGGAAGGCAGGCGGCGAGAGAGAGGCTGGCTTGAACATCTGACTTTTCAACCTCTCCTTGGTTTCACTGTTAGCGACTACATTCCTCCTCCTCCCTCCTAGATTTTAAAGGAAAAGACACATTTGTATCTTCTAGACCTAACTCACTCAAGACAAGGCGGGTTACAAAATATGGGACGTACTAAAACTAAGGACAGCGATTGCCCATAGGGAATACATGAGTGCCCATAAAGAATAATGGAGAGTAGGGCTTGCCTAGAGGGAATAGCGCAGTACATAATTGCCAATAGAGAATCCATGGCAGCCCATAGGGAATACTGGAGAGGTCGCTTGCCCATAGGGGATAATGGAGTACATAATTGCCAATAGAGAATCCATAATACCAATAAAGAATCCATAACTGCCCATAAGGAATAATGGAGAGGACGCTTGCCCATAGGGGATAATGGAGTACATAATTGTCAATAGAGAATCCATGATTGCCAAGCAAAATGAAAATTGTTCAGATAAATGTTGGAAATGTAAAAATAAGATAGGTACATTTTATCATATGTGGTGGCTTTGCGATGTAACAAAGAGATACTGGAGATGGATCCACGAGACGATGCAAGAGATATTGAGAACTAAAATACCATTTTTGC